GGTAATTGCTTTTGAAATATGAAGAAGCAAGGAACAATTAGAGAAATCTAAAATCATAATTAGAAGAGAGTAGTGTTTTCTTTTTCAGTAATCTATAATCAAGCGTATATTGCTTATCTCAGTGGGTGTAGTAAAGGCTTAGGACTCTGAGCGCGGCTGTTCACCAACTCTAAGAAAAGCTCAGTCAGCGCTCTATCAGGATGGCAGGATCTGCAACTACACAAAGCCCCGCAGATACCACAAACCAACTCTGGGGCGGTAACAGAACTTAGCCTCTTAACTTGGGGCACGACAGATTTCTCCTGAGGAAAAAGATCTCCATAATTTGCATGAGGAAAAGGGAACCTAAGGAGTCAGCGTGCAGAGAAAGCATTCTGGAAAAAATCGGTAGTGAAGCAACAATGGCCGCTCCAAGGAATTCGCCGCACCACAGAGGACTGGTCCTGCTGTGCCTTTTCCTGGGGAGACTGTGGGAGACCAGGGCCAGTCAGATCCGCTAGTCAGTGCCTGAAGAGACAGAAAGAGGCTATATCGTGGGGAATATCTCCAAGGAGCTGGGGCTGGAGCCCCGGGAGCTGGCGGAGAGCAGAGTCCGCATCTTCTCCAGAGGTGGGTCGCAGCTCTTTGCTCTGAACCCGCGAAGCGGCAGCTTGGTCACCGCGGACAGGAGGAGCTCTGCGCTCAGAGCCCGAGGTGTCTGGTGAACTTTAAAGTCCTGGTTGAAGACAGAGTGCAGCTTTACGGAATGGACATAGAAGTAACTGATATCAACGACAATGCCCCAAAATTCCAGGCCGAAAATCTGGAAGTAAAAATTAACGAAATCCCTGCGCCTGGAACACGTTATCCACTCCCAGAGGCTGTTGACCCGGATGTGGGCTTGACTTCCCTACAGAGCTACCAGCTCAGTCCCAATCACCACTTCTCCCTGGACGTGCAAACTGGAGACCACGGAACTATAAACCCAGAGCTGGTGCTGGAGCGCGCCCTGGACCGCGAGCAAGAGGCTGCTCACCACCTGGTCCTCATCGCCTCCGACGGCGGCGAACCGCCTCGCTCCAGCACAGTGCACATCCAGGTGACAGTGTTGGATACAAACGACAATGCCCCTGTTTTTGCTCAACCGATTTACCGAGTGAAAGTCCCAGAGAACGTGCCCCCGGGCACTCAGCTGCTTACTGTAAGAGCTAGCGACCCGGATGAGGGAGCCAACGGAGAAGTGGCGTATAAATTCTGGAAAATTAGTGAAAAACAATCTCCGTTATTCCAGCTTAATGAAAATACCGGGGAAATATCAACAGCAAAGAGTCTAGATTATGAAGAGTGTGCATTTTATGAAATGGAAATACAAGCTGAAGATGTGGGGGCCCTTCTTGGGAGGACCAAAGTGCTTATTTCTGTGGAAGATGTAAATGACAATAGACCCGAAGTGATCATTACATCTCTGTTTAGCCCAGTCTTGGAAAACACTCTTCCTGGGACAGTAATTGCCTTCTTGAATGTGCATGACCTAGACTCTGGGAAGAATGGTCAAGTTGTCTGTTACACACGTGATAATTTGCCTTTTCAATTAGAAAAATCAATAGATAATTATTATAGATTGGTAACATGGAAATATTTGGACCGAGAAAAGATCTCTATGTACAATATCACAGTGATAGCCTCAGATCTAGGAACCCCGCCTCTATCTACTGAAACTCATATTGCCTTACATGTGGCAGACACCAATGACAATCCACCCACTTTCTTTCATGCCTCCTACTCAGCCTACATCCCGGAGAACAACCCCAGAGGAGCCTCCATCTTCTCTGTGACAGCGCATGATCCTGACAGCGATGAAAATGCACGAGTCACTTACTTTCTGATGGAGGACACCATCATGGGGGCACCTCTCTCCTCCTATGTCTCCATCAACTCTGACACTGGTGTCCTGTATGCGCTGAGCTCTTTCGATTATGAGCAGATCCGAGACTTGCAGCTACTGGTGATTGCCAGCGACAATGGGGACTCTCCACTCAGCAGCAACGTGTCACTGAGCCTGTACGTGTTGGACCAGAATGACAATGCACCAGAGACCTTGTACCCCGTGCTCCCCAGTGATGGTTCCACAGGCATCGAGCTGGTGCCACGCTCTGCAGAGCCTGGCTACCTGGTGACCAAGGTGGTGGCAGTGGACAGAGACTCAGGACAGAACGCCTGGCTATCCTACCGCCTGCTGAAGGCCAGCGAGCCAGGGCTCTTCACAGTGGGGCTGCACACGGGTGAGGTGCGCACTGCGCGGGCCCTGCTGGACAGAGATGCCCTCAAACAGAGCCTGGTGGTGGCTGTCCAGGACCATGGCCAGCCCCCACTTTCAGCCACTGTGACTCTCACCGTGGCGGTGGCTGACAGCATCCCTGATGTGCTGGCTGACCTGAGCAGCATCAGGACCCCTGCCAACTCTGATGATTCGGATCTCACGTTGTACCTGGTGGTGGCAGTGGCCGTGGTCTCCTGTGTCTTCCTTGCCTTTGTCATCGTGCTGCTGGCACTCAGACTGCGGTGCTGGCACAGGTCTCGCCTGCTCCAGATTTCAGGAGGCAGGTTGGTGGGAGTGCCCACCTCACACTTTGTGGGCGTGGATGGGGTGCGGGCTTTCCTGCAGACCTATTCCCACGAGGTCTCCCTCACTGGGGGCTCGAGGAAGAGCCACCTGATCTTCCCGAAGCCCAACTACTCGGACACACTCATCAGCCAGGAAAGCTGTGAGAAAAAGGATCCCTTGTTAACATCCATAGATTTTCAGGAATGTACAGATAAAGCTGCTGCTGTTCAGGTGAGTTCAGTTCTTTGTTTACGTTTCTCAGAGGAATTATACTGGATATAAATTTAATTTGTGTCATTTGAAACACATATTGTGAAGAAAGTTTAAAATATTTTTAAAGGTGTACCACAAAGTTTTGGGTTTATTTTAGTGGTGATACCATGAAATTGAGCTCTAATTATCATAGTTTGTTGTTTCATTTGCTTTTCAAAGGCTTGGACAAGATTGTTTAAATGTGAACTCTCAATCTTTTAAACCTTCCATATTTTACCATAATTATCACTTATGACTCATTCACTTAAGAAGTAGTTACCCAACCACACACGGTAAGTTATATATATATATATGGTGGTGGACAGAGAATACCATAATTTATATGTACTTATATTTATTTATATATATTCCTATATTAGAACTGAGGAAAAATTATTGAGACTTCTAATTCCCTGTATTAGCTTAATAAAAGTAAAATATATCTCAGAATTTTTAGGATTATGTTTAGGATTTGGATCTAAAACTAGGTTCTTGAAGATTTCTTCACTTTAAACCTCTTTCCTGATCCCAGTGTCTGCATCAGTATCTTTCAAAACTTCAATACATCTTATCATATTTCAAAACAGAAAAACACATTTTAAAGGGTGGATCCTGGTGGTAGGTAAGACTGGTCCCTAAAGGTTGAGTTTGTGTATCAGTGGTCACCAAGGGCTTGTTGCCATGGAGACGTGGAATCTAAAATAAAATTGCCGTTGCCACCACAAAAAACAAAAACAATAAAATCAGATTTGAAAAGGAATGTCATTTTAAACTGTTGAAAGTGACTTTTGTAAAATACAGAACATGTTTCAATACAGTTCCAATGAGCTGTTTTGATGGTGCAGCCATATGAAATGTGCTGTTCTTATGGTGAGAGGGTTTGAAAGTGTTGATTTTAGAAACAGAAGTTTCATATACACGAATTCTAAACAAGCTGATAAATTCAATTTAAAATGATTCTGTCTGGACCTTATGTCTTCGGTATTCCTTCTTATAGCATTTTAATAAAGTTAATCCCTGGTTTGTCATGAGATAAGAGTGGAAAATACAAGAAATCGTTTGTTAGCAAAAAAAAAAAAAGACATTTCCCAAAGATTTCACAGTGTTCCCTCCTATTTTGCATATACAGTGGGTTGGAATTAACTTTATATTTTCTGTAGTGTTTGGGTGCACAGTCATTTGAGGGGATAACTATATTATTGACACTTTACAATTTTAAATAGTGTGTGGAAGGTTCCCCCAAAAAGAAAATTCTTACTCTTGTTCAAACTGTTCACTAATTGTCAAAAAACTTTTAAAAAGTGGAGTAAAACAATTAGAACAATGTCACTATATTCAGTAAATTTATGTAAATAAACTTACCATGAGCTCAATTCCTCCAATTCCAAAGTCATTACTTCAGTATAACCTAAGTACATAGATAAGGAATATCCTTTTGTGACTTTGTGTTGAAGAATAGATGAACATTTCCCCAGTGACTTTTAAGAATGAATTTATGTATTATATGGGGTATTACACAAGCCAAGTAATTTTGAGATATGGAGAAGAGGGTAGAGTAAATCATCTCTTGGCTACAATAGGAACAGTTATTTTTAATGAATACTTCTTGAGGTAGTCAGAAGAGTAAAAAGAAATTATTTTTTAAAGAGAGTGTTGATATCAGGAGGAGGAGATGTCTGAGGATTAGTACAAAATTGCACAACTTTACAAAATAATTTTCAACAGTATTGATGTTCTCTAATACGTGTGATATAAAACAGCATTAATTACTTAGAAATGTTGGGGGAAAAACAGGAATCAATGAAAGAAGGTTAAACATTGTTTCACATATTATAGCTAATAAAGAGAAATGAATTTGTGAAATCAGTAGGGGACGGACTCTCTGAGGGAAAGACCTGTGTCTTATTCATTGTTATATCGCCACTGACAAGGGCAGCACTGAGCAGAAGACAAGAGTTCAATGTAGGTTTGTAGAATGCTGAAATGAATGAACCAATATATGTAGGTTTGTATAAAAATCCAACATGATATTTCTAATAATTTGGAAACAAGAGAAGAGATACCTTAAGGAATGCTTTATAATTTAAGACATTAAATATATTAACGTAAAAACATGGCTTGTTCAGTTAGACACACGGTTATAATTATCTTAGTTCAACTGCAGCAGCAGAGGCTGCAGTGTCCTAGTGCGGACTCTGGGCGCCGCTGTTGGCCAAAGTGGAGAGCTTGGAGCTACTGATCTCCTTGCGCAGCCGCAGCGTACTTGCCCCAGCTCAGACTCGCTAGTGCGAGCCTTTACACCGCTTCTTCCTCTGGAAAAGGAGAAACTCTGACCACTACGAAGGAAATAAATCCTGTTCGGAGCTCCGGACATCTGCAACGCCGAGATTATTTGTAATCTGGCGTCTCCAGGCCGGTGAGCAAACTAAGGGGAGCAAGAAGGATGGGGAGCGGCGCTGGGGAGAAAGGCTGGGCTGAGAGGCGATCGGTGCTCTTTCCCTTCCTGCTGCCTTTGTTCTGCCCGGCGGCGCTCTCTGAGCAGATCCGCTACAGGATTCCCGAGGAAATGCCCAAGGGCTCGGTGGTGGGGAACCTCGCCAAGGACGTGGGACTGAGTGTCCTGGAGTTGCCAACTCGAAAACTGCGCGTCAGTTCGGAGAAGCCTTACTTCACTGTGAGCGCAGAGAGCGGGGAGTTACTTGTGAGCAGCAGGCTAGATCGGGAGCAGATATGCGGGAAGAAGCCAGCTTGTGCTCTGGAGTTTGAGGCTGTTGCTGAAAACCCATTGAACTTTTATCACGTGAATGTGGAGATCGAGGATATTAATGACCACACGCCAAAATTCATGCAAAATTCCTTTGAGCTGCAAATAAGTGAGTCTACACTGCCGGGCGCGCGATTTATATTAGAAGTAGCGGAAGATGTAGATATTGGCTTAAACTCTCTGCAGAATTATAAACTCTCTCTTAGCCCTAGCTTTTCATTGATAAATAAGGAGAAACAAGATGGTAGTAGATACCCGGAACTGGCATTGGAGAAACCCTTAGACCGGGAACAACAGAGTTATCATCGTTTAGTCCTGACTGCCTTGGACGGCGGAGATCCACCCCTAAGCGGCACAATTGAGCTCCGCATCCAGGTCACTGATGCCAATGATAACCCTCCTGTATTCAACCAGGACGTATACAGAGTCAGCCTTCGAGAAAACGTGCCCCCTGGCACCGCTGTGCTGCAGGTGTCAGCCACTGACCAGGACGAGGGTGTTAACTCAGAAATCACTTATTCCTTCTACAGGACCGGGCAAGTCTTCGGTCTGAATTCAAAGAGCGGAGAAATTACAACTCTAAGGACACTGGATTTCGAAGAAACCAAGGAATATTCTCTAGTGGTGGAAGGGAGGGATGGCGGAGGACTGGTTGCACAATGTACGGTTGAAATTAACATTCAAGATGAAAATGACAACAGCCCAGAAGTTACATTCCATTCTCTAGTGGAAATGATTCTGGAAAACGCAGTGCCTGAAACGCTAATTGCTTTGATCAAAATACATGACCAAGATTCCGGGGAGAACGGGGAGGTTAATTGCCGATTAGAGGGTGAAGTCCCTTTTCAGATAATCTCTTCGTCCAAAAACTCATATAAGTTGGTAACAGACGGGACCCTGGACCGAGAGCAGACTCCAGAGTACAACGTCACCATCACAGCCACAGATAGGGGCAAGCCGCCCCGCTCCGCCAGCCTAAGTGTCACCTTGCATATCACTGACGTCAACGACAACGCTCCGGTTTTCCACCAGGCCTCCTACGTGGTCCACGTGGTGGAGAACAATCCTCCCGGCGCCTCCATCGCTCAAGTCAGTGCCTCCGACCCCGACCTGGGACCCAACGGCCGCGTCTCCTACTCCATCTTGGCCAGCGACCTGGAGCCGAGGGCGCTGTCGTCCTACGTGTCGGTGAGCGCGCAGAGCGGGGTGGTGTTCGCGCAGCGCGCCTTCGACCACGAGCAGCTGCGCGCCTTCGAGCTGACTCTGCAGGCCCGCGACCAGGGCTCGCCCGCGCTCAGCGCCAACGTGAGCCTGCGCGTGTTGGTGGGCGACCGCAACGACAACGCGCCCAGGGTGCTGTACCCGGCGCTGGGGCCCGACGGCTCGGCGCTCTTCGACATGGTGCCGCGCGCCGCGCAGCCTGGCTACCTGGTCACCAAGGTGGTGGCGGTGGACGCCGATTCGGGACACAACGCCTGGCTGTCCTACCATGTGCTGCAGGCCAGCGAGGCCGGGCTCTTCAGCCTGGGGCTGCGCACGGGCGAGGTGCGCACGGCGCGTGCTTTGGGCGACCGGGACTCGGCGAGACAGCGCCTGCTGGTCGCTGTGCGTGACGGGGGACAGCCGCCTCTTTCGGCCACCGCCACGCTGCACCTGGTTTTCGCTGATAGTCTACAAGAGGTCCTGCCAGACCTCAGCGACCAACCCGTGCCCTCTGACCCCCAGGCTGAGCTGCAGTTTTATCTGGTGGTGGCCTTGGCCTTGATCTCCATGCTCTTTCTCCTGGCAGTGATTCTGGCCATTGCCCTGCGCCTACGACGCTCCTCCAGCCCCGCTGCCTGGGGCTGCTTTCAGCCTGGTTTCTGTGTCAAGTCCGGACCTGTGGTTCCCCCCAACTACAGCGAAGGGACTTTACCTTATTCCTACAATTTGTGCGTTACGCATACTGGAAAGACAGAGTTTAATTTTCTAAACTGTAATGAGCAGTTGAGTTCAGGACGAGACATACTTTGTGGTGATTCATCTGGGGCCTTATTTCCGCTTTGTAATTCCAATGAGTCGACTTCACATCCTGAAACTCTATCCGTGGTGAGTTCCATTTAAGTTCTACTCCTTTTCATCATCTACCTAGTTGTCCACATTTATATGAAAATATATTACATTTCCAAGTCTAGTAAGTTGTCTTAGGAATATTATAGTCCATCAGAAAGCTGTACTTCCATTCTTCAAGGGGAGTAGTGAATGGGAGTAGTTATGTGACAAAAAATAGTTATCTTACTGAGTTTGGATTTGGAAAGTAGTGAGAGTGTGCTCTTTGCTTCAGAACAAAAGTATTGTACCATTTTCTTATCTCTTTTTCAAAGCTCATGAAATTTACCCATTGATTGTCTCATTCTTTAGTAACATACTTAAATTTTTATCATATGGACATAGACATTAAATTTAAAGCAAGCAATCATTTAATTCATCTTTTAAAACAAAGACACTACTACTAGGTATTTCCTGCACTGATTTCACAGTACAGTTTCCTTCCCTTTCTTAGGTTTATTCCTCGTGTCTAGTTCCTTATATCTACCTATTCGTGATTCTTTGAATCTCTTAAAATTATAAGAAAAATACTTTGTGTGTAAGAGAGACTCAATGAATTCATCAGCAGGTCGAAATCATTATCTAAGTTCCTTCAAGTTTTCTTGAATGCAAAATCCTCCTCTTCCTCTTTGTAGCTACCAGAATAAGAGACTTGAGAAAAGAAAATGAAATGCCTCTATCACCTGCTGTCATTCCTCACCTATGTTTTTTGAAGAAGGAAGGGGAAAAAGTCACTGGATTTGTCTTATTTGGAGCCCTAAACATTAGTGACTAGAGGTTTTCTCATCATCCTTGTATCTGTAGAAGTGAAGGAGAATCCTGAATTCTCCATTTCTAAGGCAAAAACTAATTTTATGCACATACAAAGTTGCCACTACATAAGTATCAGTCTTTTGCTTGGTTTCCCTTCTTTACAAACAGCTGAAAGAAATTTCTTATAACGGCATGCACTTTTGAGTTTCATGGTGATAGTTTGTTCTACATCTTGTGTTCTTTTCCCCAAATTATTACATAAGTTTGTGACCCTTAGAATAAGAAGTTTAAGACTACTTTAAAATTGCACAATTTCCTAATGGAAGGATTGACATGGAAACTTGTTTTGCAATGTATGTTCATTTGAATCTTCCAAATGCCATAGCCTGAGCATGCATTATGTATTCACGTAGGAAAAAAAAAAAGTTTTGAAATAGCATAGAAGTTTAGTAATCACAAATGTGTAAATTTTAAAAACCAATCCTTTGAAAATTTAGTAATATTAGATGAGAATAATATATTATGATTGCCTAATTAAAATTGTTTTTGTAAACAAAATTTTGAGGAAACCTTACTCCAGGAATTTTACTATCAAACTAAATTAACCTTATAAAATAACTTCAAAGTGAATACTCTATCCATATATATTCATTCACTATAATTATGTAATATACACATATAAGTATATGTGTATAAAATTAAGAAAAATATGAATGTATTTCCTAAGAGGATTGCACATTGTAATTGCTTCAAAAAACAGATAACGACATATAGAAAAATTTGAAACATTATAAAAAGGAAATGAGAATAATTTACATATGTAGAGAGAGAGAGAGAGAGAGAGAGAGAGCGCAAAATTCTACCAAGAATAAGGGTAAGTTAATTTGCTATTAAGAAAAAAAGGCGATTTAATAATACACTTAGAAATTTCATTCCACTTCATTTCCAATTAAGATATCCACAAATGGTAATTGCTTTTGAAATATGAAGAAGCAAGGAACAATTAGAGAAATCTAAAATCATAATTAGAAGAGAGTAGTGTTTTCTTTTTCAGTAATCTATAATCAAGCGTATATTGCTTATCTCAGTGGGTGTAGTAAAGGCTTAGGACTCTGAGCGCGGCTGTTCACCAACTCTAAGAAAAGCTCAGTCAGCGCTCTATCAGGATGGCAGGATCTGCAACTACACAAAGCCCCGCAGATACCACAAACCAACTCTGGGGCGGTAACAGAACTTAGCCTCTTAACTTGGGGCACGACAGATTTCTCCTGAGGAAAAAGATCTCCATAATTTGCATGAGGAAAAGGGAACCTAAGGAGTCAGCGTGCAGAGAAAGCATTCTGGAAAAAATCGGTAGTGAAGCAACAATGGCCGCTCCAAGGAATTCGCCGCACCACAGAGGACTGGTCCTGCTGTGCCTTTTCCTGGGGAGACTGTGGGAGACCAGGGCCAGTCAGATCCGCTAGTCAGTGCCTGAAGAGACAGAAAGAGGCTATATCGTGGGGAATATCTCCAAGGAGCTGGGGCTGGAGCCCCGGGAGCTGGCGGAGAGCAGAGTCCGCATCTTCTCCAGAGGTGGGTCGCAGCTCTTTGCTCTGAACCCGCGAAGCGGCAGCTTGGTCACCGCGGACAGGAGGAGCTCTGCGCTCAGAGCCCGAGGTGTCTGGTGAACTTTAAAGTCCTGGTTGAAGACAGAGTGCAGCTTTACGGAATGGACATAGAAGTAACTGATATCAACGACAATGCCCCAAAATTCCAGGCCGAAAATCTGGAAGTAAAAATTAACGAAATCCCTGCGCCTGGAACACGTTATCCACTCCCAGAGGCTGTTGACCCGGATGTGGGCTTGACTTCCCTACAGAGCTACCAGCTCAGTCCCAATCACCACTTCTCCCTGGACGTGCAAACTGGAGACCACGGAACTATAAACCCAGAGCTGGTGCTGGAGCGCGCCCTGGACCGCGAGCAAGAGGCTGCTCACCACCTGGTCCTCATCGCCTCCGACGGCGGCGAACCGCCTCGCTCCAGCACAGTGCACATCCAGGTGACAGTGTTGGATACAAACGACAATGCCCCTGTTTTTGCTCAACCGATTTACCGAGTGAAAGTCCCAGAGAACGTGCCCCCGGGCACTCAGCTGCTTACTGTAAGAGCTAGCGACCCGGATGAGGGAGCCAACGGAGAAGTGGCGTATAAATTCTGGAAAATTAGTGAAAAACAATCTCCGTTATTCCAGCTTAATGAAAATACCGGGGAAATATCAACAGCAAAGAGTCTAGATTATGAAGAGTGTGCGTTTTATGAAATGGAAATACAAGCTGAAGATGTTGGGGGATTGAAGGGACGGACTAAAGTGCTTATTTCTGTGGAAGATGTAAATGACAATAGACCTGAAGTGATCATTACACCTCTGTTTAGCCCAGTGAGGGAAGATGCTCCTCAAGGAACAGTAATCTTTCTTTTCAATGCTCATGACCGAGACTCTGTGAAGAACGGTCAAGTTGTCTGTTCCATCCAGGAGATTCTACCTTTTCAATTAAAGTCAATTGAAGATTATTAGATTGTTGACAGCTCGAATTCTTGACCGAGAAAAAAACTCTGAATATAACATCACAGTGACTGCCACAGACAAAGGAATGCCGCCCCTGTCCACAGAAATTCACATCACCCTGCACGTGGTCGACATGAACGACAATCCACCCTCTTTCTCTCAAACCTCCTACTCAGTCTACCTCCGCGAGAACAACCTTAGAGGCACCTCCATCTTCTCAGTGACAGCTCATGATCCCGATAGCAAGGAGAACGCAGGGATTATTTACTCCTTGGCGGAGGACACCATCCAAGGGGTGCCCCTCTCATCCTACGTCTCCATCAACTCTGACACTGGTGAGTTATATGCCCTGCGCTCCTTCGACTATGACCAATTTCGCAATCTTCAATGCAGGTGAGGGCAAGCGACAGCGGGGACCCGCCGCTCAGCAGCAACGTGTCACTGAGCTTGTTCGTGCTGGATCAGAATGACAACACGCCTGAGATCCTGTACCCCACCCTCCTCACCGACGGTTCCACGGGCGTGGAACTGGCAGCCCGCTCCGCAGAGCCTGGCTACCTGGTGACCAAGGTGGTGGCTGTGGACAGAGACCCAGGACAGAACGCCTGGCTATCCTACCGCCTGCTCAAGGCCAGCGAGCCAGGGCTCTTCACGGTGGGGCTGCACACGGGTGAGGTGCGCACTGCCCGGGCTCTGCTGGACAGAGACGCGCTCAAACAGAGCCTGGTGGTGGCGGTCCAGGATGATGGCCAGCCCCCTCTCAGCCACCATCACACTCACCGTGGCTGTAGCTGACAGCATCCCTGATGTGCTGGCTGACCTGGACAGTCTGGAGGTCCCCGCGCACCAAGAAGCCTCGGACCTCGTGTTGTACCTGGTGGTGGCAGTGGCCGTGGTCTCCTGCGTCTTCCTGGCTTTTGTCATAGTGCTCCTGGCGCTGAGGCTGCGGCGCTGGCACACCTCAAGTCAGCTCCAGGCTGAGAGAGTCGGATTGGCTGGCATGCCTGCTTCTCACTTTGTGGGCGTGGACGGGGTTCGGGCTTTCCTTCAGACTTATTCCCGGGAAATCTCCCTCACCGCGGACTAGCGGAAGAGCCACGTGATCTTCCCCCAGCCCAACTATGCGGACACGCTCATTAGCCAGGAGAGCTGTGAGAAAAATGAGGCCCTGTGCGTTTCAGATGGTTCTAGGTTTCCTATTGAAGACACTCCTTTGGTTCCAGTGAGTTCAATTTTTCCTTTGCTTTCTATTACAATTGGTTTTCTCTTTGAGTGCGCTTCAAGTAGGATGAGTTGATATTAATATATTTCTTACCATTTAAGTTTTCACTGGGCCTAATTTTTGCTTTAACATCTATAGGAGGCATTTATTGGTTATATCGCTGATATAATTTTCACTTTCTAATAATAATTAACCTGTGGTCAACGGAAACCTTCCTCATGGGGCTGCTCTCATTCTCCGGCATTGAGGAGGGCTCTTTGGGTGGGTTGCTTGATTGGTTACCGCCGTTCACTACCAGTTCTTAGGGCTGGTTTTCCATTCCTTAAATGTATTACTATTATCTCCAATGGCCCCATTGTGAAATTCTTACCCTAAAAATATTCCTACAGCCAATACTATTTTTGTAGGGGTAAATTAATGAGAAAGCAAATGCATTCTTCTTTGAGAAACAGCTGAAAGCCTGGATTCACTGGTTCTGCTCTTCTGTTTCTATGACAGGAGAATACGCCTTCAAGTTGATGTTTTTCAGACCACCTGTTTGTAGAGATTGTTTGCTTTTAAAGATTATTTCTGAGGAAGATTCGAACTTTAGTTATCATCCGTTTCCAAACCCTAGTAAAGTGTTTTTTATTCTTTCAATGGTAAAAATTTTAACATCCCTTGTTCTCATATCCTCAAACATTTTAATTTCCTAATGCTATAATGTCAAATTATGAATAGTTTGAAACTCTTTCTTTCCTATAGTTTATGATTGCTCAAGAGGGGCTTCTGAGACTGAACACTGTGAGAGGACAAAACAAGGGAAATAAAAATTATTCTTCAACTGTCTATTACTTATGGCTCAATTTTCCAACTTTGAGGCTAGAAATAAATCTGGATATGGGAGATGATTTAGGAAAATATTCTTGAGAACCACTAGGGAGCTTCTAAGAACATTTTACTGGCTTTGGGCTATAAGGAAAAGAATAATGTATTATTTAATTTGATTTTAAATATAGTGTTGTTTTAAGTAATAAATGACATTCCAGGAGACTTTGAAAATAAGCTTGAAGTTGACTCAAAAGTCTATTCTAAATATGGGATCCATGATCATTGATGACTGCTGGCATTTCTGTGGAAATAGAGAATAACTTTATTTTACTTGTCTTTATAATTATTTTTGGAATTTATATTGTTTTGCTTATAAGAATACAAGTGTTAACATGTCTGGAAATCCACTGACATGCATACATTATAATTGTTTCAAACACTCTTTCTTTCTTAAGCAAGTAGGAAAAAAGTAAAGGATCCTTCAGGGTCATACTTTTAGCCATGAAATAGGAAAACTCATTTAAAACTTCTGTCCTGTTGAGTAACCTCTAGTACTTAGTATTCATGAACATTAAAATATGTGTTAATTTGGAAAACACCTAATAACATGTATATTGATGAAGGCCTGTATGTCATGGTAGGTAACTACTATTCTCTACCATAAAAATGTCACCTGCCTTTAAAAACAGAACACAAGGCCCACTGGATGGATGACTTGGCAGAGTGTGGAAAATGCTGGATTCTGGTTTTCTTAAACTATGTAGGACTTGTACATTTGTAACAGATTACATAACATAATAGGCTTAAAGATAAAATTCTTGCTCATCTTGAGGGCTCATCTTAAAATTAGAGTTAATTAAACTATCTCAGATTTTCTTCAAAATAATGGTGGAGTGCGATATATATTAAACAAAGATGACCTTCTGTTGATGATTGTTGCAGTTGGGTGATGGGTATATGGAGATTCAATAATAATACTCCCTAGTTTTGTATGTTTGAAATTTTCCATAGTAAATTTCTTGAAAACACTAAGTATATAGGCATTCGCTGTAATACTATGGTAAAACTCAAATTTGGGGCTATTATATAACTGCATTTTCGAAGAGCAATATATATATTCTGTATATATATTCTGGAGATAAATTGGATTCAAGACGAAAATGTCAGACTGCAGTTCCACACGGGGCCTCCGGGCGCCGCTGTCGGCCAGTGCAGGGCAAGCCCTGACGCCCGGGATTCCTCAGCCTCTAGCCTCAGATTTCCTGCGCAGCCACCAGCACAGAGAGAAGGAAACGCGCTCACACACTGAGGCTCCCGGCTGCGCAGACTGCCCAGAATACAAGGATTTCCAGCTCCGCCTGTCCTGGGCTGAATGCTCTTCCATTGAGGCCGTGGATTGCAGTTTCTTCAGCTTTCCAGAAAGACGGGGGCCGAGCGAGAACTAAAGCACGCAATGAGAGGGAGCTGCGCGCAGAGGCGCCCGGCCGGCCGGCGGCAGGTACTATTTCCCTTCCTGCTGCCTTTGTTCTACCCCGCGCTTTGCGAACCGATCCGCTACTCGATTCCCGAGGAGCTGGCCAAGGGCTCGGTGGTGGGGAACCTCGCCAAGGATCTAGGGCTCAGTGTCCTGGATGTGTCGGCTCGGAAGCTGCGAGTTAGCGCAGAGAAGCTGCTTTTCAACGTAGACGCGGAGAGCGGGGACTTACTTGTGAAGGACCGAATAGACCGTGAGCAGATATGCAAAGAGAGAAGAATATGTGAGCTGAAGTTGGAAGCCGTGGTGGAAAATCCTTTAAATATTTTTCATATCATTGTGGTTGTTGAGGATATTAATGACCACGCCCCTCAATTCGATAAAAAGGAAGTACATTTAGAAATTTTTGAATCTGTATCCGCAGGTGCACGAATATCCCTTGACCCTGCCACTGACCCTGATATAAACATGAACTCAATTAAAGATTATGAGATAAATCCTAACCCTTATTTCTCATTAAAGGTTAGAGTTAATTCCGATGGTGGCAAATACCCGGAGTTATCTTTGGAGAAACCCTTAGACCGGGAAAAGCAGCGATCTCATCGCTTGATATTGACTGCTTTGGACGGAGGGGACCCGCCACGAAGTGCTACCGTTCGAATAGAAATCTTTGTCAGGGACACCAACGATAACCCCCCCGTGTTCAGCAAAGACGAATATAGAATCACTGTTAGTGAAAATCTGCCCCCCGGGTCCTCCGTGTTGCAGGTGACAGCCACTGACCAGGACGAGGGGGTCAATGCCGAAATAAACTACTACTTCAGGAGCACGGCTCAGAGTACAAGACACATGTTCTCATTGGATGAGAAAACAGGTATGATTAAGAATAACCAGTCATTGGATTTTGAGGATACAGAAAGATACACCATGGAAGTAGAAGCAAAGGATGGAGGTGGTCTCTCTACCCAATGCAAAGTAATCATAGAAATCTTAGACGAAAACGACAACAGCCCAGAAATAATCATCACTTCTCTCTCTGATGAGATTTTGGAGGATTCTCTTCCAGGAATGGTTGTTGCTCTCTTCAAAACAAGGGACCGAGATTTCGGAGGAAATGGAGAAGTCACGTGTAATTTAGGAAAAGATGTTCCTTTCAAAATTTCTTCTTCTAATAATAATTACTACAGGCTGGTTACAGATGGGGCCTTGGACCGAGAGCAGACTCCGGAATACAACGTGACCATCACAGCCACTGACAGGGGGAAGCCGCCCCTATCCTCCAGCACTACCATCACTCTGCACATCACCGACATTAACGACAATGCTCCGGTTTTCCACCAGGCCTCCTACGTGGTCCACGTGGCGGAGAACAACCCTCCCGGCGCCTCCATAGCGCAAGTCAGCGCCTCCGACCCCGACCTGGGACCCAATGGCCGTGTCTCCTACTCCATTTTGGCCAGCGACCTGGAGCCGAGGGCGCTGTCGTCCTACGTGTCGGTGAGCGCGCAGAGCGGGGTGGTGTTCGCGCAGCGCGCCTTCGACCACGA